ATTGTGCCGGCCAGAAGGCCTACTCTGGTCGTGGTGTCCCAGGAGGCAACGACAGATTGATTGTAGTTCATCCTTGTGAGAAGCCAAAAATCTTTGGCGGTGCTTCCAGGTTTCAAGGGCATGGTGTCTCACCATTGGTGAGACCAGGATTGTAGGTTGTAGCTTTATTTTTCTCGACCATCTACAAGAAAAACAGGCTTATCTGATCGACGTTACGTAGACAATGTATGCATAGCCAACCACGAATATCAATATCGCTATATAGTATACACACAGAACCAAGGCATACTCCCCTAGCTGCTGCCGCATGCCCCCAACTGCAGCACCCTTTGGCTAGATAATCTAGCCTAGATTCTAGCCACTAGAATCACAATCCCCAGTACCTCCATTCCCATTGACCCGCATATTCGCATTTTATGCTCAGAACTTTGTCCACTCCTCAGCAAACTGTACGAGAGTAGCCCCAGAAATAAAGGTCGAAAGAAAAACATTACCAAACTACAACCTGTACACTCAGTAAAGCCGATTTAGCAGTACGAAGATGGATAATCCAATATGTCGTGATCTACTCAAAACGTTCCCAATCGTTCCCAGTTCATCTCCGAACGTACTACATTCAATGTAGCCGATGAACTTTCGATTTAGCAATCACTTCGTAAGAAACCAAAACCTTCCGCATAGTTGATCTTCCTACATCTTGCGCACTTGCAAATTCTTTAGCAAAGATTTGCCCTGAGATTTCAACCTCAGACGACACAGTGAAACCGTGAAGGCGAGCGAATGCTCTGCCCTGCAAAGGCGGGCATTGCCCTGGAAAAAAGGAATTACTCTTCTATGACGAATTGGAAAATTCTAATTGCGAATATGATCTTCCAAATATGTGTTTTGACGAAAGTGGTGGTATCAAAAACAAGCTGGTTGTTTAAAATGTGTAGTCCTTACCACGACTCTCGGCCCTGTTCCGAGACGAGGTCGGTCTATGACCTCCGTCGGGTTCCAGTTTGGCGATGAACCGCGAATGATCAGCCCGTATCTACGGGTTGATTACTCAAAGGTCTAGAAAGTGTTACTGATGATGCTGTGTTAAACCTCTCGAAGGCCATAGCAATCCCTGCTAGGCTACATACATCAGGAGAGATGTTGATTCTGTATAGCACTGAAGGCACTGAGTGGCATAGGGGGGATGGGACTCATGGGGAGTTTCGCCCGTTCAACGTGAAGTGGCGTAATACTCTGTATAAATTTAAGACGTGTGTCTTTTCATGACCGATTACACAATTATTTTCTGGAAAGTGAGTCATGAAATATGTTTTCACTAGTGTTTTTCACATCACGGATGAAACTCCATAGTATATGTCATTATCGGGTTTAAAGAGGCCTCAAGACACTTTCCTTGCATCATCAGTTCCCGGTCGTTTCCGACCAAATGCTACCAGCCACCAAGAAGTTGCGTCGAGATGATAGCCTAGGAGGCGGCGTTGACATGTCATGTTCGACCGATCAAGGTGAGTACTTATAGGTGAATGTCCATACCACCCCTTGGTCAACTCTCAGCAGCCTGGATCACTCGGACCAGTTTCCTTCCTCGCTTCTTGTGTTTATACCTAGACGAGCACGACATAATGTCTTTCACTTCTACCTGTATGAGTATCCTAATTGAAGGTCGACCCATGAGAGGCCAAGTGCTGGACTCCCGCAGAATATGTGTAGGATGGGAAGGGGAGTAAACTTTGGTACAATTTGGATAGTCTAGACCGCTTGATATGTGGTGGCTCAGTCTTGAACCCAAACTGGACGTGTTGTTTGTCAGAGAAGGTGTGGTATGAGTTTTACACTGCGGAGTCGATCATCCTCCTGTTTGGGCCATACAACAGGCGGAGAAGTTGAGGTGATTGAACCACAACTATTGGTGGAAGAGATGTGCTGTAATTGTGGGAAACCTGTCAGGTCGGTGTGTGGGAGGCGGTATATCTTCGAAAGTCGTAGAGGTTGTATTGATTAATACATATATTCAGATTTGCTGAGCACGATGGTAAGTGTTGGTCTGTGATGGTATACCCTGATAAGGAGCCCTGCAATCCACCTAGACTACACACAAGGAGGCCTCCTGGGAAAGGAGAAGCGGGAGAAGCTTTTATCGCGAGGATATTATGTAATACTTGTGTACATATCAACACGTGTGTTAATGGAAAAGCTCAAACTCTTGAATGGATGTATATCTATCGGAGATCCAATAATTCTCGTTGCTCTGGAAGTATTTGATCCTCTCATCTAGCTTAGAAGTTGTTCACATTGGAGTATGGTAGTGAAATCAGGTGATGCTACCAACAACAAGTCATCCAACGAAGAACAGTCGTTCGCCAGCTTCAACTATCTACATCCAATTGGTTACTATTCTGATGATGACTCTAGTAGTGATAGTGACTTTGGCTGATACCAACATTCACGTATGTTTCGTAATGGAGTGGTATGGATTTGCGTGAAGTGAATCCGAGTATAGAGTCAATCTATCTTGGGGTCATGGGAGTAGAAACAAGCGCACATGAACTCTCTACTCGCCTTACATATTCGATGGTGAGATGAATGCCAACCTGCCATAACAACTCGTGTCATCTGTCGCTACTCCCTCGTTAATTCTGTGCATCTTTACATTCGAGATTTCGTACTAGATTCACTCGGAAAAGACAATTAATACATAGACGAGCTCGTGAGGAAGGGTCGGATTGCACTTTTAAGGATTGATGTGAGAGACGGTATAAAATAACCAAACGAGCCTAAAAAAGAGCTATTCAGTATCGCGTGGTGAAATCCTTAACATGAGGTATTCCGAGCTGGAGAGATATCTGAAAGATTGTAGAAGTGTAGTCGGTAAAGCGGTGACTTAATCAGCGTGAGGTCGTAGGTTCGAGATGAGTCAATACTTTTATTCCAACATTTTTACCTAATACAGATCCTGTTGAGAAATAAATGTCAACCAATCGTGAAAAGCCCTTCTGTAGCGAGTCTTTCATTGCTAAGTAAAGTGTAGAGGTTGGTCAATATGGGAGTTTTCAGCTTAACGACTAGTAAGTGAGTCTTTTTTCTTCTGCTAGTTCTCGTGTCTAATCTCACTAGGGGTGTGTAAAACGCTGTCAGGATACGGGCGATTCTGTTCAGTAAGTTTGGTATGTTGGATAGTACTCTGGATGGTACTACGGAATGTCGCAGGTACGAATCGTTGATAGTGCATATATACATCTTTAGGCATGAGCAAATCTTTCTCTTGAACAAGTTATATGACAAACTGTGAATCGATACCCGTACAATCAAGCGCAGAATCACAAGTTGCTGACGAATGTACAATCATGGAGGCTCAGTTCGATTATGGGTTGCCAGTGGCGCCTGGGCTACCAGACTCCGATGGCGCACTGGGGCATCAGTACAACCTCAAGCCTCAGTGCAATGAGGACCCCGTGGAGGAAGGTCGATATCATCAGTACGACCGAAGTAGCTTCAACCACGACGAAGTGCTGGCATCAGCTTACTTGCTAATAAGGCGATCCCGCTCGAGGGGCATTCTGAAGCTATTCCAATGAGTCATATCAGGAGTCATATGCATGCTACAGGATGTGAGAAACTCGCTCGTGTGTATCATACCAAGAATCCCTTCAGCAGTCGTCGTGGAAGTTGAGTTCAGGCTAAGCAATACGTGGTTCAACCCAGTACTTTCGACAGTGCACAGGTGCTTGCATTCACGAGACTGCAAATTGAGTATCAGTAACTGTGTGAAGGCAAGAATGAGTATGAAGAACATCACCATCAAGGTGATGAGAGGATCGTCTCAATCTGGATGGGAAACACAATCCTCCATACACCTGAGAATAGATGAATCAAATACTGCGTGAAGAGGGTCGACGTATCACTTTCTAGCATCGAGCCACACCGCATTCCGATACAGCCTTGTCTCGATCTGGTTCAGATCATCTGAACCCAGACACTTGATGCCGTACATTTTCACGGATTGAGCTCTATTATACAAGAAGATCGAACTATCTATCAGGCAACCGAATCTCCGTATAGCACGATCTTATTCGCTGCCCGAAACCACTTGCCCCGCGTGTACATTCTTGCGCATCGATGGCCCCATGCCGAAAACCATAACACAGACTTGATGTACCAGTGCTGCACTGGCAGTGCATGTTAAAAAGAGCGAGAAACCGTTACTTTGTGAGATGGATCAGAAATGAGCATTATAATCAAACTCCAAGCCACGCTGACGGTCTGCAGTACATCAGGGATTCATATGGAGCCTGCGACCATCAATCTAGCCGCATCTTCCCCCGCAGGAATTCGATAACAACGCTTGGACGTTGATTACTGCAAAGGCCACGCTGAATCGCAAGTTGATAAGAGCCATGACCATGGCCATAGCGCATTATTCAAGGCAATCGTTGTTGTACTTACTTCGATAAATGGCCCATGCGCAATCGATATCACTCTCAGGTTTATCATAGCACTACAGGCATCCTTCGTTTCTGTGTCCAACCAGGGGATATCACAAGGTGGAGCTCAGAATAGCTCTCGAGTGCTATGAAGCATCGTCCCTTGTGTAATCACACCGGAAGCACATCAGCAAATGAAGACGGTCTTTCTGCGGTGGATCGTGTTATGGCGCTGGTTCCGCTCACAGGCAGGAGCTATAATATTATCATGAGTCTTAGCTTGTAGAGAGTAACATGGATGATATGCCAATGTGCGATGTGGGATGGAGTGGGATCTCTGTCATCTATGATCTTCGTAGGTTGACGTATTCTGTTTCAGATCTTATATTTGTTCTTTTATATGTCGACAATGAGTTTAACAAAATGGATAGTCTTCCTATCCATAGCATGGTCTGCACTGACTGTTCCAGTGACGACTAGTACCACTCCCTCTCTATCTAGCCAGCGTTCGGTTGGCTTCTGCGTCGCTGACAGGAAGGTGTTCCCCAGCCTTCTTCCATCTGGCCAGATAACTACCGAGTCCTTCAGTTTCACTGACTATGGTGTATGGTATCTAGCTGGCTACTCTAGTGATGATGGTATCCGCATGCTTTGGAGACTCGAATGCAACCAATGGTTACCTGTTGCTGAGAAGGCTCTCTCTAATATCGAGGCTTCAGGCAACGATATGTTCGTGTTCGGCATCAGCGAGGGTGACGTTGTCGTTTTCGATCCGGAGAGTTACAATGCTTATCGTACAATAGCTCTGGCGGATCCTTCTAAGGAATACACGGGAGTCACCTTTGATCAAGACTCGAATATTCTATATGTAACTGAGAAGGCTACTGGGCGGATTGCTCGGTTCATAGGTCAGGGGGGAGTGTGGACTCCAATTGACCCCTTGAATGGTTCGGATGTTCTCATCGAGCCCACTATTTTGCGTTTCACACTCGGTAAACTTTACGTTAGAGTGAATGGCGGCGTTGCCTATGCTACAATGGACGGGTCTGTGAATCCTCAGTGGTCTTTTGTTCCACTGGATATTCAAGGTGACCAGAGCTTTACTGCTGCTCCAGACGGTTTCCTCTACTACCGTAAGTCTATCGACTCGGTCTATCGTCTCCCATTGGATAATCTGATCGGCGCGGGTGAACTTTACGCTGGTGGATGCGGCTGTGGTCTGGCGCCAAATCAAGTGTGTAGCTCGGGCAACGGCAATCTTGTGAACTTCAATCCCACTGGAGGCATTGTCATGCAAGACTACTCCGAGGGACCTGACTTCCGCTTTCTTAACTGGTGTGGAGATTTCTGCACTTCTACTACGACTAGTGGTCCCTCGACCAGTATCATTCCAACCCGTGGTCCTCGAACAAGTACAACTTCAACAACCCGTGGGCCTGTGTTCACTACCACAACTCCTGGTCCTCTGACCACTAGCACTACGAGTGGTGGCCATACGACTAGTACTACTACTTCCTCACCAACTGGGCGGTGTTCGGGCGATTTCTGCGTCGCTGACAGGAAGGTGTTCCCCAGTCTTCTTCCATCTGGCCAAATAACTACAGAGTCCTTCAGTTTCACTGACTATGGTGTATGGTATCTAGCTGGCTACTCTAGTGATGATGGTATCCGTATGCTTTGGAGACTCGAATGCAACCAATGGTTACCTGTTGCTGAGAAGGCTCTCTCTAATATCGAGGCTTCAGGCAACGATATGTTCGTGTTCGGCATCAGCGAGGGTGACGTTGTTGTTTTCGATCCGGAGAGTTACAATGCTTATCGTACAATAGCTCTGGCGGATCCTTCTAAGGAATACACGGGAGTCACCTTTGATCAAGACTCGAATATTCTATATGTAACTGAGAAGGCTACTGGGCGGATTGCTCGGTTCATAGGTCAGGGGGGAGTGTGGACTCCAATTGACCCCTTGAATGGTTCGGATGTTCTCATCGAGCCCACTATTTTGCGCTTCACACTCGGTAAACTTTACGTTAGAGTGAATGGCGGCGTTGCCTATGCTACAATGGACGGGTCTGTGAATCCTCAGTGGTCTTTCGTTCCACTGGATATTCAAGGTGACCAGAGCTTTACTGCTGCTCCAGACGGTTTCCTCTACTACCGTAAGTCTATCGACTCGGTCTATCGTCTTCCATTGGATAATCTGATCGGCGCGGGTGAACTTTACGCTGGTGGATGCGGCTGTGGTCTAGCGCCAAATCAAGTGTGTACCTCGGGCAACGGCAATCTCGTGAACTTCAATCCCACTGGTGGCGTTGTCATGCAAGACTACTCTGAAGAATCTGACTTCCGCTTCCTTAACTGGTGTGGAGACTCCTGCACTTCTACTACAACCAGTGGAGCTCTAACTAGCACTACTACTGCTCCAACTAGTGGTCCCACGACTAGCGCTGTTATTACTACAACGGCAAGCACTACAGTGCCTACTAGTGGTGTTGAAACTTCCAAGACTTTTTCTCCTCACCTGTCATGTGATGGGTTTTGTGCATCTCAGGTTCCGGGATCTTATTGTAAGTACTGGGCTAACCCCAGTGTCTGTTGGGGTTCCAACACTCCATGCAGCTGCTCCGATTGAACTTAGTGGAGCAGAGTACTCAAGCTCCGCTAACGGACTGAACCAGCGTCCTTGCCGCATTTTTTGAGATAAGGGTTGCTCTTTCTCCCAAGTATTTTCTGTCCTGTTTGCGATTAACTT